CTCAAGAATTTGAATGTCCATAAAGATGAATATTATTGGTAGCTATGCTTTCTATTTTAAATATATATGGGGTGATTTTTCTTCAAAGTAAATTATGTCTTTGTAGTATTAAGTTACTCTAATTTCCTACCTCCATGCCTTTATTTTCCCCTGGAGAAAACCCTTCCAGGGCATGACCTAATGAATTCTGGTTCAAATTTCCAAATGAATCTGAACCAAAGTGATTCTATAATTTGGTGAAGGAAACCTTCATTAAATACCCAGCAAGGGAATTTTTAGTCTTTCATACCAGACCAAAGTACTTTTCTTGACATATTGAAATTGAACTTCAACATTTATGAGACTATAAATTGCAACAACACATTGTAACATGTCATGAGTCCAGTAGAGCCTCAGGTCAAGGGTTTTTACTTTCTCTATAACCCCATTAAAAATACCAGTGTTTCTAATTATTTTTCCTTTAAAAATTAGAAAAATATGTCCTCCTCTCCAGAGAGATGTTATCTTCAGTTATTCCTATAACTTATATGGTTGCATAGGGTATGTCTTTATAGTTTTTATTTGGCTTGACCAAAGTACAAATTCAATATTATAGGTATGACTATTTAGCCTTCTCCTTTGAAACCTGAAAATAGTTTTGTAATTGAGAACGTTAATATGTTTCTCCTCTTTATTCTTGACTTCTGCAATCTATTTATCTCAAAAGCTTCTTTAACATTACAATTTCAAGAGAACACTACTTTAACTGCAGGGCCCAAATCTTTTTACTACTGTGTTCATATTTTAGTTGAAGTTGATCCTCTGAAGTTGAATTGATATTTTTCTATAGAATTTCTTTTGTACCCTTCAAACATAGTCACCAGATTACAACACAACCTGTAAGAGCTTTTAGCTCTTATGATCTATCATTTTGGAAAGTTTTCTGAAGTAGCATGGCGTCACAAAGAGGCATGCTGTTTTGATGGCTAATTGGCTAGTCTTCTTCAGGACACTGACGTTTTATTTATTCTGCTAACCAGTTGGCTGAACATAGGGGTTTATTATGAGTTGTAAGAATAGACTGTGCACAAGCATATATAAAATTCAGTGTGCATCTTATTTGTAAATGTCAACTGTGTGACTCATGATATTTGTTGGTAATCCAGAGAAACCAACTCTAACAATCTGAAGACTGTGGGAACTACAGATTCACTATGGGCTGGAAGACATAGCTTGAATTAGTAGGAAATAAGGTGGCCTTAGGGATCAATAGCAGAATATCCAATAGAAATTCTTTAAAGGAAGGATCTAGACAAACATAGCCCATCATTTCCACCATTGTCAATGAACTCTAGCCTTCCCTTCATCTTTCTGTCACTCGTTCGGAAATCCAGTTAGTTGGGGCTATGTCATATGCCCACCCTGGTGGCCTAAGAACATGGAGAGGGAGACACCAGCCTTTTTTTTTTTTCTCTTCACGTAGGCTATTGACAGTGGGAAAATTGGAAAAAGAAAACCTGCAAATATCCTCTATTTTTATAAAACAAGCAACTCATTATTAATTTCAACTATTTATTTTAAATCTTCACCTGAGGATATTTTTTAGTATTGATTTTAGAGAGAGAGGAAGGAAGAGAGAGAAAGAGAAAGAAAAATTGATTGGTTACCTCCCATATGCACCTGAACTGGGGATCAAACCCGCAACTGGCATATGTATCCTGACCAGGAATCAAACCTGCAACCTTTTGGTGTATGAGAGTTCTCCAGCCAACTGAACCACCTGGCCAGGGCTCAACAATTTATTTTTTTTAATAAATCTATTTTTTTTTCTGAGAATCAAGATGGCAGAGGATTGAGTGGAAGTCACACTGACCTCCTCCCAGGACCAATCTGGAATTACAACTAAATTGTGGAGAAAACACCTGGAACAAACAACTGAACAATAGCAAGAGAGGAACCTTATAACCTTGGACAGACAGAAGAATCAGCTTTAATACAACCTAACTGCGACTTACCCTGGTCTCCAGCAAAGGTGGGAGCAGAGGGGACTGGAGACGCCTAAGGAGAGGCTGGGGAAGGAGGCTTTGGGGAGAGAACTGAGAGAGAAGCTGGTGGGATCGCAGTGCTGACTCATCCCCCATCTTGCAGCCATCTTGCTCAGGCAGGCCATTCCCCTAAGCATCAACAGTGTGAGAGGGACACAATAGCCCCACCCTGTGTCTAAGCCTGACTACTGAGTGCAGAGTGACTAGATTAACAGCTGAAGGAGATAGCCACAGACAGTAGATTCCTGGAAGTCTTGAACAGACTGCCTAAGGTCAGACAGGGTCAGCATCTGACATCATCAGAGGCAGATCCGGAAAGAAAAAACAAACAAACAGTGGTCTCCTACCATAGAAGTTCACACCACAAAGTCAGGAAATCAAAATAGATCAATTGAAGAAGCAGAAGCAAAGAAGAAGCGTTTCACAAATAATGGGAAGACAAGGAAACACCGCCCCCCACCCAGTTGAAGGGAGAGGAGGAATCCCCAGAAAGAGAACTAAATGAAAAAGAGGCAAGTAAACTATCAGATATTGAGATCAAAACAATGGTTCTAAGAAGCTAAGTGAGCTCACTGAGTTCAGAGAGAATTATAAAAAACTACAGGGAAACTATGAGGAACTTACTGAAAACTAATCAGCATGAAAAAAGACATAGAAACTATCAATAAGACACAAGAGGAAATGAAAAATATAATTTCTGAATTGAAGAACACAGTAGAAGTAATCAAAAGCAGGCTAGATGAAGCAGAGGAACAAGTCAGCGAGCTGGAGGATAAGGTAGAAAAAAAGCTCCCAGAAGGAGCACGGAAATGAAAAAAGACTCAAAAAGAATGAAGAGTCATTTAGGGAAATGCAGGACAATGTAATAATGATTTTATATGTAATAAAAATGAAATGTAATAATGTCCATATAATAGGGATACCGGGAGAAGAAGAGGAGCAAGGGATAGAGAACCGTTTGAAAAATGATTGAAAAGTTCCCTAATTGGAGGAGAGAAAAAGTCACACAGGTCCAGGAAGCACAGAGGGGCACATTTAATAAAAACCCAAGGAGGTCCACTTCAAGACACATCATCATTAAAAAGGCAAATATCAAAGACAAACAGAGAATCCTAAAGGCAGCAAGGGAGAAACAGGTAGTAACATACAAGGGAGCCCCAGTACGGCTAGCAGCTGACTTCTCAACAGAAACACTACAGGCCAGAGGGAATGGCAAGAAATAGTCCAAGTCATGAAAAGCAAAGGCCTGCAACCAAGACTGCTCTCCCCAGCAAGGCTCTCAATTAAAACAGAAGGTGAAATAAGGAGTTTCCCAGACAAAAGAAGGCTAATAGAATACATCTCCACCAAACGAGCATTGCAAGATATGCTAAAGGGACTGCTTTAAGAAGATTAAGAAAAAGAGTCTATGAATGCCCAGTTTCTTTCACTGTCAACAATACTTGGTACTACTGATATTTTAATACTTATTCTGATTTTTACAATGATGTGTTATTTTAAGTGTTAATTTATTAATTGTTGAAACTAAACCTGTTTTTTGTATATTTCTTGCCTTTTTCTATTATTTTTATAAAGCTTTAAATGACTTTTTTGGTATTCTTTATCCATGTTTTGATTAAATGTTTGTAGAATTTTTTCCCTAAAAACCCCACAAAAACTATTAACCCTTTTCAGATGTGCTGCAAATACTTTCCTATTCTATTACTTGTCCTTTAAGTTTTTTTTATATGTATATCACTATATACTTAAATGTTTAATATAGTTATATTCTCAATATTTTACTTTATAGCTTCTTGGTTTGAATATGTTACTTCAGGGTAAGAAAAATATTATTTTGTATTTTCTCCTAAAATGCCTTAGATTTTTTTACATACTGATTTTTAACTCACCTGAATATTTTTTGTATAATGTGTGAAATAGGGCTCTCTGTTTGTTTTGTTTCAAGTAACAATGGTTCATGCACCTTATTTGTTGCATAAGCCTTATTTTCCCCATTGACTTGAAATATCAATTTAATCATATACTACATTGTTAGACAGATATATACATTTGTTTCTAGAATGCTCATTGTATTTCATTGATCTACTTGATTATTTCTGTGCTGGTATCATGTTGCTTTAATTGCTGAGACTTTAAAATGGATTTAAATTTTTTAATATTTTATAATGGATCTTGACATTTTAAAATAAATAAAATCAATCTGCATTTAAAAAAAAGAAAGAAGGAACTCCTACCTTTTGCAACAACATGGATGGATATTATTATGCTAAGTGAAATAAGCCAGTCAGTGAAAGACAAATACCATATGATCTAACCTATAAGTGGAATCTACTCAACAAAACTAGCTAACGAACAAAGTAAACCACAGGCATGGAAACATGGAGCAGACTGAAAGTGACTAGAGGGGAAAGGGAAGGAGGACAATGGTGGAAAGAAGGAGAAGAGGCTAGAGAAAGAACGTGTATGAATGACCCATGGACATGGACAGCAGAGTGGGAACTGACTGTGGGAGTCGGGGGGGGTGGGATGGTTGGAGGGGAGCTAAGGGGGAAAACATGAGACAACCATAATAGAATAAACATGATTCAAAAATAAAAAATTAAATAAATACATAAATACATAAATTTATTTTTCTGGGACATCATGAAGCTACAGAATCCGAGCTCTGTTAACATATTTTCTGGACAAGCTTGGAAAAGGAGAGTAACATTTCTATTTCTGAATATATAAGTTTAAGACAGTAATATTGACTGAATTGGATTGTGTTGAGATACTATTTATAATGCCTCAAAGATGAAAAATACATTGCATGCATTCATTTCTCTAATGGTCTTTTCCTGCTCAGGCAACTTAGGTTTTGATTGGTGTGATTGTAATTTTTAAAAAGTTAATATAACTTTGCTGCATGATGATTCTGTTCACTTCTCTGCAATTTTAAAATAAATGATACAGTTGGATTTTTTTTTTCTTTAACAGACAGGCTAGCCTCAATGAAGCAGCTGAGAAGTACTATGAGCTGGCAGCCAGGCTGAGGCCTAATGTAAGTACTTTCCTGATGAGAAGCATTACTCAAGGGGACAGACTCACAGCATGTCATAGTTTTAGACTTAAAAGCATCTTAATACTGGATTTTTTCGCTCTGATCATTCATTCTGTATACCCACTAAATGGCTAATTCAACAATAAAATCTGTTGACCTCAAGCTTTCTCGTCCCAGAGGCACACATTTCTCTTCTCTACCCTGCATAAAGCATCACACTTTTATCATCTAAATAACAGGTTGTAGCATTTCTAAATATTTTGAAGAGTTTTAAAGTTAGTTTCTTGAAAGTTTGTCTGCTGTGGTGTTAAATATCTAAGGAGTTTCTAACCTCGTAAATATTTTGTAGTTTTTACTTGTAGTCAAACCTCGAGCTGTGTGCCTTTTTCATATTCCACAGTCCTCCTTTCTAGTAACTGTGCTTTTCAACTTTATCAAGTATGTTTTTATTAGAATTTTTCCCTGGGTAGTCACACTTCCATAAAGTAAGATGGATATAAATTAGATCATTACTACTGAAATAGAGGAACCATTTCTAAGAAAATAAGAATAGGTTTTGTATCGGTCTTCTAAGTACTTTTTATTCACAGCACATCACTGAATTCCAGTACATTACTTTTATTCCCATCCACACTCTGCTCTGCATCATTCTTCAACACTAAAACCTCTACCCTGCTCTCTGGGTCTACACCATCTATTGAGAAATGTAATTTTTTAATGAAAGTGCCTGTGTGATGTGACTACAAATAATGGAATCAGTCTCATTTCTTTACACTAACTCATCTATTGGGCAAATAAACATCTGTAGAGAGTCTGCTTTGTGATAGGAAACAGAGATTTCATACCCTAAAAGACCACACAATGTAGTGCAGGAGACTGAACATAATCAACTAATGAAATACAGTGTGGCAACTCCTACAGAGAGGAATATACAGCTCCATGGGGTGGGAGGATAAGAGGAGGAGTAATGCTTCTTGAAAACAACCCACGTGGGAAGTAGCTTTTTTTCAGGAGATCCAACCACCTGTAACCTTAGCCCTGAATCTAAATGTCCTTAGTTTCATTAATTATGAGATATTTTTAAGAATTGGTGAGCTGTTTGTAACAGAAGAAAAGAGTTTAATAGCTGTAATTGTAAGAATGATACCTGCTAAAATTCACTGAGCACTTCCTATGTGTGTCAAGCATTGTGCTAAGTACTTCATATGAATTTTCTCGTTCATTTGTCACAGCAGCCCTCAGGTGGTTCTTTGATCCTCATTCTGGGGAAGCTCAGAAAAGTTTACCCAGTGTCACACCTAGTAAAGGTGATCACATTGGAACCTAGGTTGCTCTATGCATAAGAGAAAGCTTGATGAAAAAAATGCAGTTATACTTAGAGAGGAAAGCTTGTCCAGAAGTGCAGGGAACCAAAATAAGAATGGTCCCCTCATTCAGTAACTATTTACTGAGTACCGATTAAGTGCCAAGCACTATTCCAGGCACTGGATACACAGCAGAACAAAATTGCTGAGAGTCCCTGCCGGCTGGGAGCTTAAGATCTAGGCTAAGGAAATGGTGCAGGAGCAGGTAAGGCTATGGTACGTGAGACAGTGATAAGTGCTTTGCACAAAAAAAGAACGGGAAAAGGGAGTTAGGAAGCGCTGGGGGAAGTGTGCAGAATGCCCAGGTTGGGCCTCCTGGCATAGCATTGACTAATATATTGCTTGTAATGGGCATAATGAATGATGATGTTAAGTTTAACCTTTATTCATTCAGTGTGTCACTTGAGTGTCACTTTTATTTTTGTTAAGTGGTCGATCCAAAGGACTTCTTTAGCATATTATAATGGATTAGTGAGAAAAGAACTATCTGAGCTATTTGACCTGACCCAAAAATGAAAAAGGCACGGAGGAACCACTAGATTTAAGCGTGACTTATGAGATTGTTTATTTTAAATGACTAGCCAAATCATAAAATCAATATTTAATCTCCAACTCAAAGCCATTTTTTCTTTATAGCCAAAAGTTTCTTTATAAATGTGGTGCAGACTGCTTTTGAAAAATGCATTTATTCAAATGATACTTCCCTTATCTGATAATAATAAATTAAGTATTGTATGGATTTGGATAGAATACTAAGTTCATATTTAACAGTAAGTAAATGATATTACAATTGATGGATGTACAATGTGGTATTTTCTTTCTGTTTTAAGAATGGTGTTTTGGTTTTCTGTATGGAATCGAGGTAGGTAGACGCCACTGGGGAAGAACTGATAAAATCCAGTAAGTTTTTACTCTGAAACGAAGAGATATATTTAAACAATAGCCCATGTGATGATTTATTAACAGTTAGCATCTGATCTAAATTAAAGATCCATCTAACATATCTCTTATTTATAGCTGTTTATTCACTTTGTCATAAAAGCATTGTCATTTCTGTACTTTAACTTATTAAATTCTAATTGCCTGTTTATATGAGAACATAGTAAACAGATCTCAATTCCCATTCCATTTTAAATAGTTTCACTATCTTTTCTGTTTTTGTTTTCTACACGATAATGTAGTCTGACTCGTATTTTTCATAAAGCATTTCTGTGTAAATGTCCAACTACAACAGTCAGTGGTTGTATGAGGAGTACTCTGGGAATGTTTCAGCAATTCTCTTGTCAGGTCGTGACTACACAAAGTGAAATCTGTGGCTGCAGTCCTTGTGCATAACCACTTATCGTCATACTTAAAAGATTGTGATTTATCTATGAGACAAACCTCTCTCTTAATAAAATACTTATTTCTTCAGGATGTCTCATAATGAATTTATTTTTTTCTACTCTACAAAAGTGATATTTTTCTATAAAAATGTACTTAAATTGTCAATTGACCTTATGGATTATTTTATATATTACTACAAAGAACTCCAGTAATCAACTCCTGAAATAATAAAAGAAGTCTAAATTAGCAGGAACATAATTTTAATTTTTTTTTATTGTTCAAATGCATTTGTCTCCATTTCCCTGCCACCACTTTCCCCTGCCCCACCCACCCCCACCTCCCACCCTCAGTCCTTCCCCACTTTGGCTTTGTCTATGGGTCCTTTATACATGTTCCTTGACTTGACCTTTCCCCTTCTTAGATTCTGATATTGTCTCTTCATCAGGGATATTCAATACATTGCCGTTTAACTGAAGTCAACAGTCAGAGAAATATACTTATTATTTTTTAAAAAGCACCATTAAAAATTTTAGTCCTATATATTTGATTTAGGGGAGGGGTTGCTCTAAAATTAAACCTGATATCATATATAAGTATATTTCTATAGTGGGAAAAATCTTTACTAATATTGCCATTTTAAGTTTTTCCACTTTTAGTTCTTTTTTTTAAAAAGAAAATTGATCCTTCTGTGGAGGCTACTTTAAAAATATAACACTATCCTCTGTCTTTTCTCCCACTTAGCACATTTAAAAATGCTGACTCTTGAGGACTAAAGGGAACATTTAAATGAAATGGTTTTGTTCTTCCTGTTGGAAGTAAGCCAAATTCTGCATTAACTTAAGTATTTTTAAGTATAAAGAATGGGGAATTTGCATAGTACAAAGTCACTCAATTTTACTTGGCTTTGAGTAAATTCTAAAGTTAGAAGGGAGTAATTACTAATGATAAGGTTTGTATAGCTTGTATTTTTCTGTGTAAATGTTTTCATCTGAATTCATTCAAATTATTTTTTTATCAAGTTCCAGCTTTGTGTAAGACTATACAAAATGCAGTAAGATTCAAAGTAATGAAAAATTAACCTTCTGGGGAAGGATGAGGAGAAAATTCATGGGTCCAAATCCCCACACTCCAGGGCAGCAAATAATGGTATACAAATAAGGACTTTGTATGGATTATAAACTAGATACTAGAGAAATGCACGAGAAAAATTACTTTCAGTAGGATTGATCCTAGAAAACATAGAGTCATATATATATACGTGGGAATTTTAGAGAATCTTGAAATGATAAGTTCTTCATAGGTGAAGATTTTAGCAAGAGAAGGGAAAAAGGGAATTCCAGAAGGTTGAGGCATATTCATGGACAAGGACATTGAACTCAGAAAGGATGAACTATGCCAAAGAAACAGTAAGTAGATGTGGTTTATGTTGCCAACACTGGGAGGCAAAGAAGAAGAGGGAGGGAGGACAGAACTATAAACTAAGATGAAACCAAATGAAAGTGATAGAATACTATACTAAGAATTAGGAGTTTGCAGTTCAGAATTGTGTGAAAAAGGATAACATTATGAAAGTGATCATTTAAGATGGCCATGTATATGATATAATGAATATAGAGTGGGTCAAAAGTGGGTTTACAGTTGTAAGTACATGAAACACAGTTTATTCTTGTATTATTATTTATTGAATAATTTTCCACATGAACAACTGTAAACCTACTTTTGCCCCATTCTGTATACATTGCATTTGGGAAAGTAGAGTTGAGAAATGAAGCCTTGGGAAGACAAACTAAAATGTCATTGCAATGGTATAGGTAGAAGGTATAATGGGTCTTGAAGTATTGAAACACAGTGGAATGAGAAAGATCATGCAGGGGAAATATATAAATTACTTGACAGGATGTGAGCAGGAAAATTAGTTGGCCCAATGAGTCTTCTAGAATATTGAATGTAGGTAAGTTGGAAAAAAGATACCCTAAACAAAAATAGGGCAGGTAGAAGGAGGGGTATTTTTATTTCAAGAAGGAAGTGTTATGTTTGGACCAAGCAGACTCTGAGTGAGAGATAGATGTTCTAATTTTCTATGGGACATCCCTGTCAAGAGCATTTTGGAGAAAGGCCACAGTTAGGGATAATGCTGTGGGAGTCATTTACAGAAAGGCTATAGTACCAAAGAGGTGGATGCGGTCAGAGAGGCACTGAGTGAATGTAGAAAGGAGTAAAGAGAGGTCATTTCAAACCCTTGGCGAATCTCTACATTTGGAACATAGGATAAGAAAGACAGGATACAGTGGCAAGACACAGAAATGATGC